CCTCTTCCTTCCTTCTGCCTGCTCTTCGGCTATAGTTATTCCAACTGGATTGGTAGTTAGGTACTCCGTAGTTACTCATGAAATTCTCACAGTCGTCCTGAGAATCGGATAATGTCTATTGTCTTTTTTTTGCCACCAGTCTTTCTTGGTGCGGAGTACAGAGTCCATTACAGTCCTCTCAATATTCTCCATCCCTGCATTCGGATGCGATGTCGATGTATCCAACCCGCGAACGGGCATCTGACAGATCCAATCGCGGTAACTTTCTAGAGAAGCAGAAGAGTGAGAGCCAACCCCAGCCTTCAGCCTCTAGACCTTTAATTCTCCCCTGATTCAGCTCTCCCTCGCCCTCTCCTCCCCCCTTGCGACAACGGCTTTATTCTTCCTCGAGTAGTCGCCTAGGTGAATTAATCTCAAAAGGACCCAGAGAGGGTTATTTGTTTTGCTTCTTCGACCTTGTCTCTATACTTCCTACCTCCCCCCCCCCTTCCCTTGTAGTCCATTTAGTGTCAGTGCTGAGGGTCCAGCTCAGGTTATAGTATATGCATCTATTCATCCATCCCAACCCACTCATCCATCTGCAACTCACTCTCAGCCCAACCCTCGCATTTTTCCCTTTTCCTGTACTCCGTACGTACCTTATCCTCGCTCCTCCCTTCCTGCTCTCTGGTTTTCATGACAGGTCCAATCCCCCCATTCCAGATCCGGTGACAGTGGTCCACCGTCCGTAAACACAAGCCCGTCGATAGTTTCCAGTTCTGCTCCTCTCCCGGGGACTTTTAGTTTCCCAATTGCTGCATCGGTTTTTCTGTCCGATTTGCGCGGGGGGATGTTGTTGACCCTCCCTTCAAACCCCCGAATCCAGTTTTTTCCTCTCGAAGACAGGTTCTATTTTAACATTCACCAGAAAAGACCTGACGAGCGTTGACATGATGGCAGTGGCGGCACCTCATCTTCAACAACAAAGGAACCAAACCCAGCGACAAAAGGTCTAGCCCCAGATCCTCAACCCTCCGAAGTGGTTTTACCTGTTTCGTGTCCTTCATTCCAAGACTCTATCCAGATCTACAATCCCCTTTTCTGCCCTCCACTCTTCTTGCCCCCCCCCTCCCCACCTGGAAACCCACCGTGTACGTTGGACGCTGGTCATGCATGAGCAAATCCAAGCATAATCATGATACACCGACATTCAACCCCCCCCCCCCCCCCCCCCCACCAAACCAAAGACCGAACAGAAGTAGATAGATTAGCTCCGTGCCTCCGAGTTGGGAAAACAGAACAAGAACCCGGAAAAAGACTCGACATATCATATTTTGCTGGTCAAATCCTTCGATTCAGCTTTCATCGACTCATTGCCCCCGTGATGGCCAGAAAGGGGGCTGGCCGCATGATGTTCTTTCACACATGCCCATCGAAATTTGACTTTTGTCACTCCATCAATCATCCTTTGCCACTGGAACGAGGGGAACATATAAGATTAATCATACACATCACATTTTGCACATACGGTACTCAAGTCTATTGAGAAGTTCCAGTGGAGATGAGAGTTGGGGCCCAGCACGAGGAATTGCAGTTTGCGGTTATTGCGGCTTGCAATGATGGTACTATGTAATTGGAGGTGTGTGTGTGTGTGTGTGTTTGTGCAGAAGACGATCGATCTTGCAGCTATTCGCAAGTCCCAAACTCTGCGCTTTCTCTGGATCTGCTTCCACTCGATTGGTAGGGATATATCGAAGATAGACACATTCGGGATGAACCCTAAAACTATCTGGGATTCCTTTCGAGTTTGTTTTGTTCCAGACATTCCGCAGTGGACAAGCATCCCCGCGGAAGGGTCCAATCGGCTCCATCGACATGGAAGCTAGAAAACATTCCAGACGAAGCTGAGAGAGCGAGGGAGGACAGCCAAGTCAGAAACCGTCGAAGTTCCATACCTTAGTCGCCGTCTCCTCCCTCTTTCACACATATCCCATCACGGGGAATCTGAATCTGACAGGCCCCAGGGGCCCCCAATCGCCACCCCGTCATGCGAACCGACGAAGCTTCTGTTCCTCTTCTGGGCTGGGCCGGGTTATGATGCAGCTTCGATCCGACCATGATGGATCTAGCCCTAATCCAGCAGCCGGCGCATGACAGCTGGCAGCTGGAGAACTACCGGTACTGTACTCCGTACCTGTCAGCCTTCCGGAACTGTGGGTTCGTGATCAACCTTTCACACGAGAAACTAGTGGGTTCAGCTTCAATCAATAGTAGGTCAATCTAAATCCCTTTCATGCAGGATCTAGGATACGTGATAGCAACCGCAAAAAAGGTGGGGTGGTGTTGTCGAGTCGACTTGCTGTCAGCGGCGCTTTTCCATCGTCAAATTTACCAAAACCAGTATATGTGCAGGCCAGAAGAACTCTTCTTTAGGGGACTAAGACAGGTAACTTAGAGAGCAGCTGCTGTCATGAAGCTCACGGGTGTGATTTACGGAGGACTTCTGCTGCAACTCCGCAACAGCTACAGCCTGCAGCTGCACCTTCGCCCTAACAGACAGCCGACAGCACTCGGCACATCCGAAACTCTACAACCCCGGCGGCACTGAGTCCCCCCGTCCCAACCTTGCGCAACGTAGGCTATACATACAGCGGTATAGCCTGTTTCCTCATCCCCTCAGACACATGTCTCGAGGATGTCACGGGGTAGAATTTCATCACTAGTCACTCTACTCAAGAATGGACCGGCATGTCGAGTTGCTTGACTGTACTCCGTAGATGTAGATAGTCGAAGCGCGAGTCCACATGCTGATCACAGCAATGGAAACCAGCACGCCTTATTTGGTTTATATATCTTCTGTTGCTCTCGTGGAGAGGTTTTGAGTTTAGCATCAACCAAGTCCAAGGCTCATCTCTCTGGCTGTCATCTTTGCGGATTTGACATGGCCATGGATGATCTTTAACTCGGCAGATAGAATAAGAAGCCGACAAGCTGGCATCGAAATCCCATTTCAAAGTGAGCCGAGGCTTGTAAGCTTGTATTCAGCACTCAAGAATTCTAGTAAATGGCTGGTCGTCTGGATCGGCTGCTGGCCTTGTCATGTCCTCATCTCACGAACGGGCCGTAGTATAAAACGGGGGGGACTTTCCTCTGTACAGACGCTCGATAAGAGAGAATTACATTGGTCAGTGCCGAATCTCTTCTGCAAGTATCGACCTGCCCACAAACAAACGCGGAGTGAAATAGAAGTAAAATGCCACCCTCACCCTCACCCTCATAAACCTCATCAACCGCAACGAACCATTCGCTACACCCGAGAAGAAGACAAAAGGGATACTGTATACAACCAACCCAAGAAGAGATCACAACCAGAAAGCTCACATTGCAGGAGCAGTCACCTTATGAGTTGTTAGGCCACTCCTCTGTGCAGTGCTACGAATCCCTCTCTTATCCCCGAGGGTTTTCGTCCCAGTTCTATCTCCCGACGGGATGGAGGAGGGGGATATTCCTGCGTCAGGCGTTATTCCCTTCTCCCCTGCCGGGGTTCGAACGCGGGACCGATGGCGTTTGACCTTGCTACGCTCGGCGAGTTCCCCACTACGCCATCGGCCCTGCTGGTTACCGAGTAAGTACCTTGACTAAAGTATAGCCCAGCAGCCACTAGCTATTTTGAGAGCATCGTTCGCGAGACATCGCCGAAGTACAGCTCCGCACGGTGTCCGTCCACATTAGTATTCTACATGGTGAGCTGAGGAACACTTCCACTCCAGGCCCGTACTACGTGGAATTGATGAATGGATCTTATCTCTTCTTGTTCCTGTACTCAGTAGTTTATCATACGATATTTATGACATCCACATTCCACATTGTTTTTGCCAAACATGTCAACCTACCAAGTCCATCAGCTGAATACCGTACTTTTCAACTAGATCTATACTTCACCACCATCACCACCACCAAAACCTCCCATCACCCATCAAACTCTTCCGCCTCTGAAAAAAATATGCCTTAGCCATCATACTACTCCGTACCTTAGACCCATAAGCACCACAGACCGACCCACCTTTTCCAGAAAACCCCAGCTCCAACCACCAAACGCGATACATCACATCCCTCCACGCGCAACCCCCAGCCCTGAGCCGACATATCAACCTACCCATCCATCCATCCATTAATCCGTGCAACCCGCGCCAACGACCGACCGATCGATCAGTCAACCCAACCAGCTCACCGATCACGAACCCGATCTATCCCACGATCAACATCTGAAAACCGGGAATTGAAACGAAGCAAGATCCAACCTAGTAGAGAACGGGGCATCGCTTTCAGCCGCGCTTCTAGAATGCGAGCTACGCCTCACTAGAACCAGGAGTGGGAGGGCTGTGCAGTAGTTTCATATACTTGGGAGATTGTGGAGTATAGTATATCTATTTTATGGGGCGGTCGAGCTGAAGTTTGCTTTTGTTTTTGGTTCTATGAATAGACATTTGGTGGGTGGGTTATTGTTGATCTTATGGTTTCTGGTCAAATCAGGAATTTCGTGAGAGTTGCTATTTACCACTGCTTGAGGGATGTTTGGAGGGCTAAGGATTGTACCTAGTAGGCAGATTTGATTACGAAAGAGGTGTTGATATTAGATAGGATTGGGGAATATGGAAAGAGGCAGGGTCTTCCAAGTTAAACCATGGCAGCCGAACAAGGGCTTGATGGCTAGCCACCGCAGAACTACATTTACAAAGGATGGGAGGCACGAGAAAATAATTCGTTCAAAACGTTTGAATGTTGATTTTCTATAGTTATTGATTTGTTGAAAGAAAGGAAAGGAATCAAAGAAACTCACCGCAAGAAAGGGTCGGGCCGAATGCTCAAAAATCATTGTCGCCAATCTTGGCACCAACCGCCTATTCCTCCTTCAACACACAATCCCCCCCGGTCTCCTCGATGAACTTTATCCGCAGTGCCTGCACCCGATCCCCATTCCAGGGCCCGAAGATCCGACCGCGCCAGCCACCCCGAGACCGAAACCTGGGCTGCTGGGACTCGACGACCCGGGCTTGCGCCTCCCGCTCCACCACCCACTTCCAGAACTCGTCCAGCTGGCGCCGATACTGGCGGTCGAGCTTGGCGAAGTGAGCGATATCCGCCGAGCAGTAGTTGAGGAAGTCGTTGTCCAGCGGCCGGCGACGCAGGATGTGGCTGTCTCCGTCGCGGCCGAGATAAAAGCAGTTGGAGCGGCCGCGTTCTTTCTCGGCCCGCCAGCGGCGCGCCTCGGGCTCGGTTAGCCCGGCGTCATCCTTGATGCACGCCGCGAGATTGGTCACCCGACTGTTGTCGCGCCGCCAGCCCTCGGAGGCGGCGTGCTGCATCAGCTGGAGGTCAGCAACGCGCTGGAGGCGAATCTGGAACTGACTGAACAGCGCGTCCGAGCCATTCCACACCTCGAAGAAGACCTTGGTGCGGTTGGGGGACTCGAGGATGGCCTGGAGGCTGATAGTGTTGTAGAGACGGGAACTCGCGGTCGTGGAGAAGGCCCGCGCGCCGAGGGTCTCGAGGTCCACTGCGTGGATGTTGTCCATGCATTCCAGGTAGATCAGCATCAGGCTCAGGGTACCTTCGCGGGAGAGATTTACACCTTTCAAAACGATGTAGAGTGGCTCGAAGGGATGCGCGATGATCGTATCGACAAGGCTACGAACCCCATCTTCAGTGTCGATGAGATGAATGGTGCTCATTCTCAGGTCGGCCATTGCTGGTAAACCGCGATCTTGCTGATATCTAGTAGCAGTCGACAATTTTTCGAACCATTATGCTGCTTCTCTGTGGAAACCTATCTTGTATGAGATGGTGGACTGACCGGCCGAGAATGGGAGTCAAGACCTGGCCGTTCCCATGGGTTTTATAATTGCAGGGTGGAAGCGTGGAAGGGATGTTCTTTGGGATATTTTAGGGAGATTCCCATAGAGCATATTGTTTGATCTTTGTCTGTCAATGCACTCGAACCATTCTTTGTTTTCTTTTCGAAATTGAGCATTTCATTCAAACTGCAGGGATACATCAGTCCCTCCACTGCTGCCCACACAGTAACCGTGCGAGGACTACCACATGCTTTGTGACGCAGAACGATGGCGAGTCAGGCAGTCATCACGAAGCGATCCATAATCTTTGCGTGATAGAAGACGGAGACGGAGAGGTATGCATGTCACCGATGGATCTGCATATTAGTAGTCCAAGGATGTAATAGATAGGGCTAGAATATGGAAAGCTTCGAGTCAAGGAAGAGCAACAAAAAAGAAATGTATGCAAAAAAAAGAGATATATATCCCCTTGGGGAATAAAAAAGTAAAGATACCGAACCAAGTCTAGGTAGGCAGGTAGTCAGTCATAAACATACACAAAACACAAACATACGCAAATGCTCCGCTCCTTTCCACCACAAACCCTTACAGAGCACCCAGCTCCTTCAACTTGCCAATGAGTCCGTCCACATCCTCAACCTTACCACCACCCTGGCGAGCGGGAGGTTCTGAAGAAAGACAATTAGCTCCAATTCCCTTCTCGTGACTGATAGAAACACGCCAGGAAACTCACCGGTGACCTTGATCGTCTTCAACCGCTTTTTATCCTCGATGCCGAAGTCGGCCAACGTCTTCTTCTCGAGGGGCTTCTTCTTCGCCTTCATGATGTTCGGCAGCGTGGCGTACCGGGGTTCGTTCAACCGCAAGTCCGTCGTGATGATCATGGGCAGCTGCGCGCGCAGGGTCTCGACGCCGCCGTCGACCTCGTGCGTGACCTCGACCGTGCCGCTCTCGTCCTTGATCTCGACCTTGCTGGCCTGGGTCGCCTGCGGCCAGCCCAGCAGGCCCGCCAGCATCTGGCCGGTCTGGCCCTGGTCGCCGTCGATCGCCTGCTTGCCCAGCAGCACCAGGTTGATGTTCTCCTGCTTCACCACCGCCTGCAGCATCTTGGCCACGGTCAGGGGCTCCGGCCCGCCGTCCGGGCTGTCGCCCACGTCGACGTGGAAGGCCCGGTCCGCGCCCATCGCCATTGCCGTGCGCAGCGTGTCCGCGCACTTGGGGCCGCCCGCCGACAGCGCCAGGATCTGGTCCACCTTGATCGGGCTCTGCTTCTTGGTGTGCCGCTCGCGCAGGCGCACGGCCTCCTCGACCGAGAGCTCGTCGAAGGGGTTGAGCGAGTGCTTGACGCCGGCCGTCTCCACGCCGGTGTTGGCTTTGTTCACGCGGGGTTTGACCTGTTTAGTAGGGATTGGTCTGTTAGTTTATCTTTTTTTTAATTCGGAAATTATCGCCATGTCGTATGGATATGAGCATGCTGAGTTTGATTTCAAACTTGGGACTTCAGTATTGGGGGAGTGCAGTGCAATGGCTATGAGGGCATCGTGGCGCGGAGATTCGACTCGGCAACTTCAACTTCTCACCGAAGCCGGAGCACGGCAGGGCAATAAAAACTCACCGCATAGTCGATAACCCGCTTGATGGGGACAAGAATCCGCAGGTTGCTGGCCATTGTGATTGCTATATGAGAGATGTTGGACCAGGTGAGTACAGTTCCGATGGGCTCGTGAGGGGAAAAATGTAAAGAGCGCGAGGGAGGAGGGGGAAGAGAGATGGGGGAGAGAGGAAGAAGTGTTGTAGCTTAAACCGGTCCGTCGGAGCAGTCACAGACTCACTCACAATCCATCCGCGGCAGAAAGCAGGTGACTCTAGGCGGAGAAGCCCCCGAGGCGGGCCGAGCTCATCGTCTCTCCCCGCCTGTGTCAATCCCGCCTCCAACCGAGGTAAGTCAGGGCAGTCAAGGCAGATGTCTAAATAGAATACTACTTGGAGTCTTCCTGACAGCTGATAGAGGGCAAATGACCTCATTGTGCTTGAATTATGTTCTAAAATGGTCTCTCATGTCTCGTACCCCCCCCCAAAGGTCTATGCAGTCGGTCTCACTAACCGACACAATGATCACCACGTTTCTTGTTTATACCGGCCTGTCTTCTCCATCCCCAGCAGATACTGCTCGGCGCCCTGTTCATTGAACCGATCAGTCTCCACCTCCGGTCCGTGCTGAAATGCCTCAGTGAGGGCCTGCCGCACGGCTTTGGGCATATTCCCAGAGGATCCGCATATGTACACCGAGCCACGCATGTCATGCAGGAGTTTAAAGAGGAGGCCGACATTCTCGCGGATCACATCCTGAACGTAGACCTTCTGCGTCTGGTCTCGCGAGAACGCAGTCAGGACCTTCAAGCGGACCAGCTCACCCAGCTCCTCCCACTCTTGTTCGAAGAAGAAATCCGCCTCTCTGTTGCGACCTCCATACACGAGCAGAGTTGGCCCGATCGGAGGCTCAACTCCAGGGTTTTCTTCCTTGTACGCCTTGACGATCGCGGCCTTCTCCCAGATCATCGATCGTAGGGGCGCGATTCCAGTTCCAGGGCCAATCAAGACCGTCGGTCCGACTAGTTGATTGATCGATGAGTTGAGGCCCCCACGCTGCAACTGCACTTGAAGTGTACTTCCGGGTTGAAGCACCGATAGATACCGGGTGCAGACCCCCTGTCGAATGCGCTTGATGACTGTCTGATACTTGACGATAGCGACCAGCAGCTCGAATTTTGTGCCTCCCTCCGCTGAATGCTTGAGGGCGCCCCCGCTGGCAATACTGAATTGTCTCGCTCTCATGATCGGAAACACCGAGACCGCATGCTGCCATGGAATCTTCACCGAGTCGAACTCGTGCAACACCTCCAGGATGCTGCGTCGCGGCCGAGTAGTATAATCCCACAGTTCGTCCAGGAACTCGGGGTTGGTGAACTCCAGAAGACGCTCCTTGTGCATTTCGTAATCTGTGTAATGAGCCACGGTAGCGAAGAACGCTCGGCGAGGAATGGCCTGAATGTCGAGGTAGTCGGTAAGGAGAGCGCGTAGGGTCATTTTGGGATATGAGTCGAGACCCTGAATAGGCGGAGAAGGCATATCCTCGTCGTCTGACGAGAGTAATGTCGGCCCAGGGACGAGTGTCACCGGCCGATCGACATCTGCCTCCCAGCCCATCATCGTGATGAGATTGTCCACGTCGACGGCGAAGTTCTTCGGGGTGATGGATAGCATATCCCCAGGAACGTAGGACACTGCTTCAGGGACAGTCAGGGACAAATGACGCACATCCTGCCAGTGGTTCGCGGCAGTCGCCCGCCTATTCTCTGTCAGGGTCGCCGTCAGCGTATCTGGCAGCGGCCGAAGATCATGACCGAGTCGGTCCAGCTCAGAAGATCCATTGACTCCTGCATCAGATCCTGCGGCTCGCTCCGATGTTAAGGATTCCTCCCCATCATCTCGTAGTTGCAAGACCCATTTCGGAGGCAGCTGAACGTTGTCCGGTATCGGCACCTGACCTGGCGGAAGCGGATATGTGTCGAGCAGATGCTCACGAAGCCTGGTGAACCACGGGATAAACGTCCCCTCAAGACTATTACAAACCATCACATCAGCATCTCCGTATCTCCCGGGCTGTTTGCTGTCGATGAGCAAGGGAACAAAAATCTCACCCCTCGGGATGTTGCTGGTCCGCCTCTCCGCAAGGATGTATCTCCTCCGCGCCCAACTGAAGCAACCGTTTATGCAGCTTGCGAGCCGCCCAATTAAACCTATACCCAACGTCAATCAGCTTCCCAACTCAGTCACTGTGAACCTTCCCCATAAAAAAACATCTCCCACGCACTCACTTCGGATAGGAACTATCCCCCAACCCAAAAGCCGCAAAATTGACCCCACGCAAGAACGTCGCGGGGAGCTTCTTCAACAACAACGATCGCCAAAACGATCGCGCATTAGCCGGAAAATCGCCCTGCCCGGTGGTGGACACAACAAATAGCACCAGCGTGTACGAATTGAGTGTTTCCTAACAGTATCGTTGGAGTCAGCGTTGGGGGTTCGTGCGCACACGCACACTCTCCCTCTTAACCATCTACATCGCTGGCGATGGGAGAAACCGTACCGGCTTGTACTGATTCAATTCCGCAATATGGGTCTTGAAATGGAGCCGCTCGGTTAATGCGCCGAGCTCCTCGGCGACCTCTTGAGAATTGCCAGTTTCGGAGCCATAGAGGACGAGCGCAGAGCGTCTCTGTTGGATTAGCTGAGAATTGCTGCTCATTGCTTCTGGTATGGCACGTGCTTGCGCAATACCTGTAGTTGATATCGAAGAGCGGGAGCGAGTCACTTCCGTTTTTGCGGTTTCAGTTACTCGCTCACTCACTCTCACTCTCACTCTCACTCGCTATCTTTTTTTGGGAAGCCCCCCTCCTCCGGAACGAAGGCCTTTTGCGCCGACAGAGCGGGATGACGTCATCCCGACGATCGGTCGGTCTCTTCGTTGCGAGGGGAATTTGGGGTCTTTTTCCACTGGTATGGATTGCTGGGTCTTGAAGTCGAGTTGATAAGAGTCTTCTACCTGGTGATATGTATATACATAACATCAAATCCTTTGAAGAAGTTATTTTTTGACAAGAAACCATTCTTACTGATTGAACCTAATTACAACTGCTCACGAACAGTATGGCTCCCAAAAAGAAAACACGGCCAATTACACATGTCTCAAACCATAAAGCCCGATAAATCGCTCAGATTGATAAGATCGAAGGAGATAATGAATATAAGGGTATCTTAAAAATAAGCGCCCGCTTTTTAATACGTATCCTCATCACCACCGCCGCCGCCACCATCTCCGAACCCATCGTCGCCGTATTCATCATCGCCGCCATCGAAGTACTGCTCCGCGTTGTAATCCCCACCCATATCGTCGTCGTCATCCTCGAAGTCATCATCCATGATCTCCTCTTCCTCCTCATCGGGGTCCAGGACCTCCCGCTCATCATCCTCGTTCTCCGCATCGCCCTCTGCGTTCTTTCCCTTCTTGCCCGCCTCGTCGTCCTCCTCATCCTCATCGTCCTCAAACCCGCGCCGGATTCCGGGCCGATCAATGCGCAGCACGTATCCGTCCATCGCAGCATCGGGCTTGAAGCTCGGCTGAATGGTCTGCCACAATTCCTTGGGGAAGAATTTCATCACTGCAGCAGCAAAAACAGCCCCTCAAAGTTAGCAAATGTATCTCCTTAGAAGTAGAAGCCCCCCCCCCCCCCCCGAACTAGTAAAACCAAACAAGCAACCCCGAATCTTCCACCTCAAGCACAAGGGAACCACAAAACGGCACACAACTCACCATACTCCCTCCCCGCCAACTTCGGCAACGTCCGCATCTTTTTCTGATACTTGCCCGAGTACGAGGGCATCCCATGGAACGGGTCGAAGTGTACCCGCGCGGCACTCTCCTTCTTGGCCGACGACGTCGCCGAGTCCAGCACAGAGTAATACGGCCCATCGTGGAATCGTTCTCGAAGCGACCGGTACTGATCCACCTGGATCTGCTCGTGGGGGGTTAACGGCCTGGCGCGGGGGACATGGTATTTCTAGAATGTCGGAAAAAAAAGTTGTTAGCATGGGATTCGTATTGGACCCCGACACTGATGCCGGGAAAATCCTTATTTCGAAAGAGAAAAAAAAAAAAGCGGATGCATTAATTTCTCCCAATGAAAGACAGACAGAAACATACCGGAAAGAGAGGCGTCGGCGCGGTGTCATTTTCTCCGCCTCCTTCACCAGTTTCCCAACTGAATTCTGCTCCGGGGAGCTTGCGGCCCTTCTTGGCTCCGAAACGAGACATGGTGGAAAGAAGATGAGGGGTATGTCAGATGGAGATATGGTGTCAATTTCGTCCTGGGCCTCTTCGTCTCGTCACAGCGGCAGTAATGCTGTACCAAGGTCGAAGGGCGACGGCGGGGAAGAGTTGCAATGAGAGTGACTTGGAGAGGGGGCTGCGGCGCGGCTGGAGAAAAAAAGTACAAGGGCTCACCACTGACTTCTAGACTCCCGGGCGGAGCTTGGAGTCACCGCCTTCGGAGATACGCTGAAGTAGGAAATAAGGGCTTGTCGCGCGGGAGCCCTGACAGCTTACTTCCAAGAGTCAACCAATCAGATCTCAAGACGTTTTGTACTGCGTGAAATTTCCTGCATGCAGTGGCGCATATCATCTACTTGTCTCAGGCTTGTACGATTTAAACGCTAAAAATGACTAAGTCTGCTTCCGAGAACCACTGAAACGAAGAGAGAAGGAACAGAAGTACCTATTACAGCCCGACAGTTGCAACTTGGTTGCCATGTTGAGTGGTTGGCCCCCATGGGCCCTCGTTGACGCGTTGACGGAGTGTACGCATGATATCGTCGAACCCAGCCATCTGTCCGCCGCTCTCGTTCAAACCGTCATACAAAGCGACCAGCACCTCATGCTTCGCAGTTGCCACCTTCCATACCGCGTTCTGTGGATCTGCGGCACCGCCTCCAACAAATTCGGAATATGAGCGCGGAGGTTTGAAAAGGTATGGCAGTAGGACTGTAAGAGCCGGTGGTGTCAGAGCGGCCCAGGCACCACTTGACGGAAGAACGCCCTGTGCCGCTGGAGAAAGAGTCTCCAGGCTTTGTTCAGTAGGGAGCTGATACCTGGTATGGCCAGGAGCAGAGGTCGGCACTTCAGCCGGCAAGACCTGCCAATTGGCGGTAATGATCGCTTTCATAAGTGACATAGCGGCCAAGGAGACATCCTTCATAGCGAGGATGTCGGCGGTCGCGACAACATCCGTCCAGAATCCAGTGTGCTGATTCGTGTATTGGAAGTAGAGGACCCGAGCGGCCGCTGCTTCTTGGTGCCAGTCGGTTGGGGTTTGGCCGGACGTGTTCAGCTCCATCGAGTCAGCCAGATCGGGTTTGACCGGGCCATGAAAGACCTTGGCGAGCACGTCGAGGGCCTCCTTATTCGGGGGACTACTGGGAACAGATAGCACCGCGTTCAGGCCTTGCTTGCTGGCTTCCACGAGCAAGACTCGAGGCAAGCAGGAAAGCACGTTCAATTGTCCGCTGGGGACGGGCCCATGCGCCCATTGAGCGGACGAGATTGCCACAGATGCAGCGACGCGAGATACAATGCGGTCTAGCAGATGTCGGGGATTCTGCAAAAGGTGGTTGGGGTACAGTTCAGCGTACTGTGCCACGTAGGACATGATTGGACCGCAAAGATAGGCCAGGTCGATAGAGTCCAGTTTGGACTCATCGAGGTAGAACTCCAACAAAGTAGTGTGTATATCGTTTAAGATGAGGAAGTCAAGCGCTGGCGAGGAGAAGGTAGACGCGGATTGTACGGTCATTCGGGCCATGAGACCCGGGGCGTCGATGGCCAGCAGGTCATGGAAGAAGTTGATCAGAGTCATGTGCATCAACACATCGCCCCGGTCAACCATCCTGCAGGCGACAAAGTGAAGAAGGCTGTCGCTCTGGTACTTGGTTTCCACATCCGCGACTTGAGAGCTTGAGATGATGTCCCAGCGCAGTTGCCCTGCCTTCACGAGGAAGCCCATCAACCTCCCTTGAGCCACTGTCTTGTCTCGCTTCGAGATAGCTCCAGGCCCATTATCCTCGAGACTGCATACGGAGAACAACAGTCCATAGACATCTTTATCCGTGAAGATTCTTCTCCAAAACAGACCTTGACCAGCAGTTGTTCCATCAGGCTCATGTTCGCCAAGCTCCAGCGGACTAGCGAGATCGATCTCCAACAAGGTCCAAATGGTGTCTAAGGCCGCTTGAGCGACAGCGGTAGACGAAGTCGACAGCCAAAGCTCTACCAGGGATGCGACGAGCTCAGAGTCCCCCGCGACAATGGCAGCATCACTCGGGACTCTACCTGCTTTGCTCAACAATGACAAGGCCAAGAGGTTGACTGGTGGAGAGGGCGCTTTGAATCCCGCGATGAAATTTATAGGAGGGTCAACAGCGCGAAGATCACTAAATGAGAGATACCCTGCAGCTTTGATTGCGAGCGTTGTGAGAGGGGTAGGATCTTCCTGAAGCACCGGCAAGAGCTCCGAGATCTGTATCAGTAGAGTGGCGGGGACATTGCGGTCCGTGTTCTCCGTCAGTTCTAACTTCAGCTTATCTATGATGTTAGTATCCAGCTTGGTAGAAGGATCACACTGGATCTGCTGTAGATGAAGTCTGGCTTCTTCAAAGGTCGTAGGCACAGCCATGCTGTTCTAGTGTAGCTTGTTCTGCTGTGTTGTTGGAAGATGAATGCACCTGGATTGATGCCCGCTCAGCGCGGGGAGGAGGGAAAGCTGGATTGCAAACAAGACAAACCGATGACAGCTCCGCACGTACCTCCGGATATGATGAGAGAGCATCGCCAACTCCATTGCAATCACCAACTCCCATCATCACAATTCCCAAGGTCGTGACACAATGTCTGAACATCCCGACTCACTTGTATCTCCCAAAGCATCTGACTCCGGCCTTCATATCCAACTTCACCCTCTAATCCTACTCACGATCTCCGATCACATCACCCGCCACGCAGCCCGATGCCAGCAAGGACCCATAGTCGGAGCGCTGCTGGGCCAGCAGAACGGCCGTGAAATCACCTTAGAGCATGCTTTCGAGTGTCTGGTAACGGAAGGGCCGAACGGGGAGGCTCAAATTCCGGATAGCTGGTTTGTAGAGCGAGTCCAGCAATGTAAGTCGTACACCTCATCCCTCCCTCAGGTCAGCCCCGATAAACTGACATCTACTCTACCTCACAGTCAAGGACGTGCACAAAGCGCCGGCGCTCGACCTAGTCGGATGGTGGTCGACCTGCCCATCCAGCGGCCCCAATGCATCCCACCTACCCATCCACCGCCTGATCCTCGAGAAGCACAATGAATCCGCGGTATTTCTCGCATTCCACCCTGCCGAGGTGGCCGGAGCATCCTCAAAAGGCGGCAAACTGCCTCTCACCATCTACGAGAGCGTGTACGAAGGAGGCGAGGATGCCAACACCAACACCATGCAAGTCGACAGCGAGGACCAGCCACCAACGTTGAGCATCAAGTTCCGCGAACTCCCTTACTCCATCGAGACCGGCGAAGCCGAGATGATAGGCATCGACACCGTCGCACGAACCGCCCGCAACGCAGCCATCTATCCCTCGAGCACCAACACAGACCCATCGCAAATAAGCAAGGCCAAACAATCAACCAAGGAACAACAGCAACAACAACAACAACAACAACAACAACAACAACAACAACAATCATCAACCGAACCATCAGCCCTCCTCTCGCCCGAAGAAGAAGAGCGTACGTCCTCCCTCCCCCTGCCAATCCTCGAAACCAAGCCCCTTAGGAAATACTAACGAAAAACAACAGTAATTGCCAGCCTCAACACCCGCCTCAACGCCATCCGAACCCTCGAATCCCGAATCTCACTCATCAAATCCTACGTCTCCAGCATCTCCACCTCCCCCTCCAGCACCAGCAACAGCACCACCACCCAACAACCCACAACAACAACAACAACCCTCTCCCACCCCATCCTCCGCAACATCAACGCCTGCCTCTCCCACCTCTCCCTCCTCACCCCTCCCGCCAATAGCGCCCTGAACCGTGAAACCCTCGCCCAGGCCAACGACGTCCACCTCGTCGCCCTCCTCGGCCAACTCAGCCACAGCATCAGCAACATGCGGGAACTGGGCAGACGCACCGCCATCCTGAACAACGCCCGGCGGACCATGGCCGCGGCCGCGCGGAAATCCGGCCCGTCTGGCGGCTTGGGCTCTTTGGGTGGGAGCGGTGGTGGTGGGAGTGGCGGTGGTGTGGACCTGCAGATGCGGATGGCGGGGTTGCAGGGGCGGTATGGTGGGGAGGAGATGCTCTACGGGAGAATGGGGGGCGGCGGGGATGGGCTCTAGAGTGATTTTCTGAACGGATGGAATGATGGGGGGAGGGGTTTCTCTGCCCTCTGCCCTCTCTCTGCCCCGGGAACAACTCCAAGGAGTCGCCCCCTTATCGTTCCATCCTTTAGATACGTAATGAGATTATGGTTGAAATGTTTCTTTCGTGTAGATAGAATGAGGGATGGCCGGAATGCTCATTCTTACGGGCGAAGACACATCGAGTTTGTGGCAATAAATCTACATGCAGAGATCCTCCAACTCTATGAGAGGTCGAGAACATAAGCAAAGAGTGCAAACCCACTCCTCTCCAAACCAGAAAACACAAGAACTTGAAGAAAATCTCATCAATCCGCGATACAATCAATATTTCATGCCATGATCTCGTACAATGTGAAACAAGAACAACGCAGATAAAGCGCCATCGGCCAGATAACCCAGCAAACAAACAGAGGGTATTATACGACAAATCCAACAGGAATAGAACCAACGCCATAGAGACAATATGAAGGTGACGGGTGACTGGGATGGAACACCGTCAAAGACAGCTTGCTGTAGAAAAGAGAATGGTAGATGCAACAACCAGTGCTACGAGGTCTAGGTCATGTCATGTCACGCGCTTCGGTTTGCTTTAAGAAAAAGCTTTTGATGCAAATGCAATGAGTCCGCTTGGAGGGGCCCCCATTTACCTCCGTTGATGACTCTCAATATCGTATCCGGGTGGCGGGGTTTGATATGTTTCTGGAAGAGGGATCGGAGGTTGTTCCTGGAGGGGAGCTTGTTGGTAGGGTTGAGGGTGGGTGGCTGTAGCGGTGGTGTTGTCCGGATATGGAGGGTTTCCGGGGGTGGGCGTATCGTGGTGATAGGGGTCGTGGGCCAGATGCTGAGATTGGACCAAGTACGGATTGTATGCATCCTCATAGGATGGGTCTGTGTGAGGAGCCGTGTGCGAGGGTTGCGGTTCCAGTATAGACGATCCGCTCAATCGATTATGCGAGTAGAAGCGATTCGGATCATTGTCATCGTGCATGCCCGGGGCTAGCCCGCCTGGACTGGGCTGAGCATGAGACAAAAGCACCTCGCCTTCTTCGTCGCTGCCATATCGCCCTGCGCTCAATGTCGTTGGAGGCCCTTGGTATGCGGTTCCGTACGGTGGAGTGAGGTTCTCAGTCGCATTCAGCCCAAACGCCTCGGTCGGCGTGTGGTAGCTGGGATCCAGCGTCCGCTTCTTGCGTCCGACAAACAACCAACGGAAACTGCGACCAACCGCCTTAGCAAGGTCGACAGGATTGAGCGCATCCAAAAGGCCTTTGAGGCCAAAGCGACCTCCCTGATAGCTGGCCTTTCCATTACCATAAAAGTCGGTGACATCGGAATTTTGCGCAAGAAGCGAGTACGGTTGCCATGCGAAGGCCCACAGATGAAGGACCGAGAACATGGCCATTTCGATACAGATGAGAATGTTTGGTAGTCCGACCTTCAAATCCGGTGACTGGATTGTCTTATTCGCTTTGATAACACCCGCGGAAGAAAGGAACGAGATCAACGTCTACAATAACAATAAGACCAGTTGCCACGAGAGTAGATTACGGAATGAGCCCACTTACCGACTGCCAGAAAGACAAGAAGATCACGAGTTTGATGGAAAGAATCTTCAAGAAGGGAGAGTGTTGGCTGATGTCGTCTTTGAGCTGAATGTAGAACTGAATCAGGCAGTACATGGCGATCGAGACAGCGATACACTCTACGATCATAGTCTATCCAGGCAAGAAGGTCAGTCGAGGCACGCCAGCCATCGGGCGTAAGAGCACATACCCAAATGTGCGAGAACGCAGGGTTGAGCGATTCTTCGCAATAAACATTGTAATGTTGCGTGATGACGGCGATAACGGTCATAAGGACCCGGAGGACACAGTATTGGAAAACGCCCACCCAAATGACCTGTGGCCCTTCGTCAGCTCATGGCCGACGCGATTGAGACATCGAACAGACTCACATTGAACCAAGTCAAACCACTGCGAGGGGTTCTCCACACGCCTTTCTCACCGCCGGAGATCTTTTGCAGCCAAGGGATAGGCCAGACCCAGGGCTTGGGCACCACGCCACGGAAATACTCTTTTTGACTATGCAGGTCGGGGGCGACGTAGGCGCAGAGCAGGGAGAAGAAAGCGGAGATGGCGAAGGCTTCGTAGCAATTTCCAATCAAATCGTAGTACACATCGTTCTTGTAGAAGTACGTTCCGACCCACGCGACGACCGAATAAATAGGTATCATCAATAGGATTCGTATTTGACTGTGAGATGCAACATGATAGCATTAGCTCTGTGCGACTCTGGCTCGGCGCGACGATAAGGCGGGAACGTACTGTCGTTGCTCGATCGGCTTGCTGTAATGCGTAGCATGCATCATAATAAGATAGAAGGAAACAATCATGGAAATCAGACCAAACACCCCGCCGACCATGAGGCACAGCTGGTGAAAGGTGATCCCGCCTTCCCAGAGGTCGACCTCCGTGACTATGCGAGTGACAATGAAGAATCCGCGTCAGCTCAACTCAACAAACAACCATAGCGTCGCAAATTGTAGCGAAGAGCGGGCAAAGGACGAAAAGGGACATACTGGTCTCATCCTCGGCGGTGGAATTACACACCGGCCAGCCCATTCTTGGGAGTGGGAGTGGAAGATGAACAGCTGAACAGTGAGAGGCCTCAGAATGCGCGAGAGGTTATAGGGGAAACGAAAATAATAGACGTCTTCAGGATGTTGTGGAAGAAGGGGGAGTAAAATCGTCGCAAATTGAATGGAGAGCGAGAAACACGGTCGACTTTCTATCTTATCCGCCCAGCCCGGCTTGGCCCAAGAATGAGCGACTGAACCCCTGGGAGAGCCGCCCGAGATTAGACTTCCGTCCACACTTTTGTCGCCGGTGGAACTGCAAGGATAGTAATCGTGGGTCGAGCGGACAGAAAGTAATGGGGTGTATGTCTGCCACGCTGGAACAGGCGCCGAGAAAGCGTGAGCTGCGTGTCGTGTTGCTTGGTGTTGCTTGGCAGGAACAGCGTCTAATAAGTGAACAGAAGAGGGGGGAAAGAGCAGAAGTGGAGGAGAGGGAGCGAGGAAGAGAGGCTGGGGATCAACAGTGATCGGCCAGAGGGGGAAAAGAAATGAATGAGGGTGTGCACAAAGCCAATACTGCTGGGGAACAATGAAGATGATGGGTGCTGGTTGTGGTACATCGGACTGTTGATCCGAATGCACTGTATATTGCGTAGTTGGAAAGAAGTACTTTGTAGGTTAGTTCCTGTATTTAGTCTCGGTAGTTCAGTCGGAGTAGAGTATAGTATAGTATAGGTATGGGTATAGCATAAAACCAAGGGAGGAGGAGCAGATGAAACGAAACACAGGTGAAGTGAGTGTGCACTTACTCACTCACTTCATTTCAATTTGCATTGGAATGAATGCTTTGTGATTGCTGGGATGACGAACCACAGGCACCAAAGTTAACTAACGGAAGTCTGGAGGAGGCAATCTCAAGTAAGTGACCATACCAATACACGTCATCTTCATTGTTCCCCGCCATAAAGACGGTAAATTAGCTCAACTTACATCACAGCTGGTATGTACCGAATCCACTGGCCACGGGCTGCGCCACTTTCCCGAAATAGCCGGAACTGCCTTCAATTCCACTCTTGCGACTCCGTACTCCGTACTCTTTTGTCTTTCTCGCTCATTTCCCCCCTTTGTCTATTGGAGAATGAAAAAAAAGATTCAAACACATTTCTAACGGATCACCACAGCCCCGTTCATCATTATCTTCTTCTTGCTATTAATTACTCTTTTCCGCAGTTAAACTGGCAGCCAAGCAGAATTGTTCATTGCATTGTCTAGTGGGGGACTCCACAGTTGTGCAGTCATCGCCTAATTTACATTCATACTTGCCCCCCCCCCCCCCTGCCCCTCGCAATGTCCCTTAACTACTACTGTACACGTGACGGATGACTACATCCGTACAATCACTAGAACAATAATGAGGAACCGGATTGTCGGAACTTGAAAAATCGTTACCATCGACTGCGACGGTCGTCTCGCCACGAATCACCCATTCCTCCCCGTCCTCGGCCGCCACGGCCGCCGCGTCGGCCCCGTCCACCACCTAAGTACTCCGGCCCCTTGTCAACAAATAGGTCACCGTCTTCGAAAGTGATACGACGGGTCTCATCTCCTCCCCGTCGGGGGAATGCGCCTTTTCGTAGCAGGTCGTCGAATCGATCGAGACGCCGGTCGGCCACCTCCCGGGTAACTGGCAGATAGTAGAGCTTAGGCTTAGTGGTGGTGGACATGAACAGCTCGTCCAATGGCTTGAACCCTTGGCCCGGGTGAGAATCTGACCGTGCGACACCAGGGCTACTGGGTCGTCGAGTCGGACCACGACCCTCTGCACGGGGACCGGTGGGCGGTGGACGAGAGAAGCCAGCGAGATCAGGTGCACGCGCAGCTTGGGCGGCCGGTTTGCGGGAATCGACTTCTTCTAAAACAGCCTCGACACCGTCGTCTGTACGGTCGTATCTCACTTCCCATCGGGGTGCGGGCCCGCCACGCTGCCGGGTCCCCTCCTCTCGTTCAATCCATGACTTTAACTTGTCTTCGGGAATAAAGTCGACAAATAACGCTTTTCGGTTGCGTTCGTTAGGCCATACGGTCCCGTGGAGGGCCGTTCGGACACGCGACGCGGCCGAGACACTTGTAAAGCTCACAAAGCAGTGTGTCTTGATGGGGTCCAGGTAGTAATCGAGGATCACATCAGCATTCGGTGAAGCATCAGGTGCCGATGCAAGAGTAACCAGATGATTTCGCAGGGCCGCCGGCTGCATCGGCCGCATCAGGCCTCCAACGTAGAGCGCAGCAGTGGCAGCATGTAGGGCAGGTTCAACTTCTGCCTCGTCCACGGCAACGTCAGGGGGAGGAGACGGCGGACGGGCTTGGTCGGCTCCCGGGCCCGCGAAGAGACCTTTGAAAC